TTCAATAACTGTTTTGGCATTAGTATCATCAAAGATAGAAGTGGTTCAATGTTTTGAGAATATTATGAAATGAATCCTTTTGTCTCTGATCAGAACCAAACTAGTGGTTATGGTTCCTTGTGAGTCTTAAAAATGCCTCATTTTCTTTCTGCCCTCAAAGAGTTTAACAGGGGGAAAAGTGACTTGTTTAAGGAAGACTTGCAATATTTTAATTTCCTGGTTGTTTCTAGCCAGATGATGAGGAATATTCTAGACAATTTAAGCCAGAAGACAAAACAGGGTCTAGCTTATTCAGCTGGAATCTAGAACTCCTGAGTATTCACAGTTGTAGATGAATGTAACAAGTTTTATTTTCTATGTTCACAAAAATGACTGACAAATTTCACTACTGGTATAAAATAATAGAAGCGTGCTGCTAATTAGAAGATTTTAAAGCACTGTTGATGGTTCTATTATATTTCCAATATTAACAAACTTTCTGGTCTTTCTAAGAGATATTGAGACAAGGACAGGAATATATATATATATGTACACACACATATTTGGATATATGTATATATATATATATATATATATATGAGTGAGAGAGAGAGAGAGAGAAAGAGGGAGGGAAAGGGAGAAAAAGAGAGTCACTGTTCCCCAATGCTATGTTCATGCTCCATCTTGCAACTTTAAGTGGTTGAGGAGAAATAACCATCTGAAATCAGAAAGGTGAAGTACTAGTATTTCAGTCTTTCATTAGGACCATCATCAAATACCAGGCAGGATGGGCATCCTGTTGGCACTGCAGGCCAGCAGGTACCAACTCATCTCATACATAGCAGCTCATCCTATTTGCCACCTGGTGACTTGACCATAATGAGGACTAGATCTTGATTCCAGTCTTTGAAAATAAAAATACCCAAATCCAAGTAGCATAGGATCACTTTCTACACTGAATATGTGGCTGCCTTCTCCTTACAGGAAATAGCTCATAATTTAAAAATACATACTTTCCAGGGTGAAATGCAAAAATGAGCTAATCCATTTGGTAAAATCTCAGGTCACTTTCTACCTCTCAAAGTACATTACAGAAATCATCACGTCTATCTACCCCTATGGTTTGAAAGAAGACAAGGTAAAACATAAGAGGTGCCTGGTTCCTCGGAGCTGAAATGCGTCCATGAATATGGAAATGAAGGGAGGAAGGGAGAAGCAGCCAGAGAGGAACGAGAATAATTATAAGCGAGTAATGTGTACTGATCTGAGAAACGTGACCAGCAGTTTGGTTCCGATAAATAAGAAAAGCAGAAGTAGGTTTGAAACATTCGTTTCCCTTTATTAGCTCAGTGAGGCTGATGTGTACTGCACATTTAAAAAAAAATCACAGGAATTTTCATACAATGAATAAAACCACAACAATACATGTAGAATTGGCAGGTGGAAAAGGAGCCCAGTCAGGGCTCAACTCATCGCTCACTTTCCCTTCAGCGTTAAGTTCAACCGACAGTGTTACACTTTCACCTACAAACCTTAAAGTAGCTCCATCAAATCAGCAGTTCACATTATTGAAAATGTCTGTCACATAGGTACAAATTTAGAATCATCACATTATATCACATGGCTATTCTAGGTCATCTATAGATCAGGTCTTAGACTACAGTGATTGAAGTTCTCGTTACAGCCATCAGAAAAAAAGGACACATAATCATTACCTACTGTAAGCTCACATCTAAAGGCATGAAAAGGCTTCTTTTTTTTTTCCAGCTGACCTAAGCATCATACCCCCAATAGTGCAAAGTTTCCTCTCTGCTGCTTGAATGTTGACAGCTCAACTGCTGTTCACAGAGTTGTTTAGCAAGAAAAGAAAAAAAAAAGGATTGTGTTGCACTGGAAGAATTATTTTCTGCTTCACCTCTTTAGTGAAAACCCCCACATTTCAAAAGCACCAGTTCAGTCACCGAAATTGTTGACGTAGTACTTAACCACACAGTACGAAGGCAATGGCCCACGGTCATCTAAAAAATCTCCTATAGATCTATGCCAAAATTTGCTTCCAATGATAATGGGGTGCATGTGCCCTATTGAAATATTCTTTTCCCCCCTCAAAAAGATTTTTTAAAAATTCAAAAGAACACAGCTTACAGTTTGATGGGTTACCCACAGTGTCTGCGTAAGATATGAGAGCTCCACTCATTTTTAGATATAATTTGAGGTCACAGAGGAAAACTCTCTTCATGGGAACAATATTCGTCAGGCCCAAAGTCGGGGGGATAAATTAATCCTCACCATGACATCTATAGTGTTACCTCTCGATAAGTAAAGAAAGAAACCAAGTAGCTCACTCATGTCAACAATTCAGGGGAAAAAAAATAAAGAGAGAATGTATTTAAAATTGGATCACATATATTGAAAGGCAAAATAGAGAACGCATCTGGTCCTTGGACACATAATAGGATTTACTAAATATCGATTTCTTAAAAATAATTTATTGCTCTTAATAGTCTTTTTATTATTATTCTACAACAGAAGATACTCAAAATTCAGAAAGAAAGACTGTAAACTTGAGTTTGGCGTTCACAAAGAGTTAAAATACCTGCATTTAACCTACAGAACAGCAAGAATTAGGCGGATTAAAGATGTGTTACTATTGTAACGCAGAACCTGTGAACAAAGTTCTTTTATTTCATAGTATTTTTTTTATTGCTTTCTATCTACTTAGAAATAAGAAGCCAAAAAACTCGAGCAAGCATCCGACAGGACAGACGGTGGATCCACTCAGAACACAATATGCTGGTGATAAATGAACGCAGCTATCAAATTAGCTGCATCGGCCTGGGGGTGAAACCCATCTCATAAGATCGTGTTGGGTGAGAGAAAGGAAAAAAAAGTACCATTAAGTAGTAGGTATCACACATCTTCCAGAAAAGTCATGTCAGCCGAACAGCAACCGAATCTCAATTTGGAAACTTGAATACACAATTCCAAACTTTAGTGAATTCCATAGCCGAGACTCCAGACTGAGACGAAATCCGGATGGTCGGAATGAAGGTTGTTTTCTGAAGGTATTTTTTTTTATTATTGAATTTAGCAGAAGCAATGTCATCAAGAAACAACATGATGGTCACGTCAGAGGCCATGCTAGTGCAATTAAGCACACTGCTTCTGCAAAAGCCGAGTTTTTTTTTTTTTCCCAAAAGAACAACTTACACTCCAACCTGACAACTGCCATGCATCCTAGGTAGAAAATTTCCACTGGCTTTATTATTTTCATCAGCTCATAATTTATAATAAATAGGCTATCTGCAACTGATAAATATGTCTCTTTAGTAAACAAAGGAATGAAATATCAGTATTTATACAGGATGCATAACTATAAAAAATACAGATAGATACCATCATCATACTCTGCCAAGGGAAAGAGATACTGGCTTCAAAGATAGTCTTCAGACACACATTAATTATTGTAAAAATCATACTGTAATTATTACTTCAGCATTTTTGTATCAAATTAAAATCACAAAAAATTAAAACAGAACAGCATTTTAAAAAGATTTTTGACCTCTAGTTTCAAAACTACTGTTGATAGAGAAAATAAAAACATTTTGTAATGGTTACCCATTGAGAGACTTTACATAAAATCATGGTATCTTCTAGAAAAATTTTAGATGAGAAAATTTCATTCCCCTAACAAATCCAGTGTATAAAACTTCAAAGAAAAACAAGCAACAAGAAAATGTGGAAAAATATCGCAGAAGTAGTTAATACCTTTAGGGAACTAGGATATTTTTTCTTTTTGACAAGATGTTTAGATCGAAGCGTACCTAGGAAGGGATGAAGTACGTAAAGCATCATTGGTTGTGGTTGCACTCAATGGACATACACACTGTCTTTTGTGTTGTTTGGTTGTTTTTGTTTTTACAATCAAATATATATATAAGCAGTAAGTTCAGCTTCTAAATAGGTTAGTGTACAATAATTGTTTCACCTCATAATTACATTTGAATATTCTTGATTAAGAAAAATTGAGCAGTTTTTGAAAAGAAGGCTGCATTTACAGTGCATAGCTGTAACAAAAGAAGAACATCGTTGTATAGTATATACATAAAATAAAAATACTCCATTTAACATCTGTAAATACTTAACTACATCAGAGAATGCAGCAGTGACACTATCGGAACACACCCAGAGAGTTCTGATCGACTCTCATCAATTTTATAACATCGTGTCCGCTCCTCAGAGGGAGCTGCTGAACACGCTGCCTGCTTGACCATTGACAAGGCTTTTAAAATCTGCAGTGGAAGAGATCAACATTTTGGACATTTTACATGGGTGTCAGGACAAGGATGAACTACAGAAACTTCAAAATGTTAGGAAAGTGTAGCATTCTGGTGCCTGCAGTTACCTCTCCCACCAAGATTCCATGGCAAAAGGAAAAAAAAGAAGAAAGGGAGGGAAAGAGGGAGAGACGGAGAGATAGAGAGGGGTGGAGTGAAGGAGGGAGAGAGAGAAGGAGGGATATAGGGAGGGAGACATGGAGGGAGAGAGACAGAGAGAGAGGATATTAGTTCGGTGGGACCTGTGGTTTCCTTCAGGATTGTCAGAGTCATTGTGTTATGAGAGAAAGCTTGCTTCAAGTTGGTTTTGCACTTTCTTAAAAAATCAGTACAGAGGCTGATGCCGGACATCAGCAGTGTCGTTTTAGGGTGGTTTGTGGTTTGATGGTTAGTTTTCTTTCCTTTTTAAGTTTATAGATATATCTATCTATCTATATCTATCTATATATAATATCTCCTTTTGTATAGAATATGAACATTTTGAAGTTCTAGGTTTTAAGTGTGTCTTCATGGAACTGCTGCCATTTGAAGTGGTTTGCCCTTGCACGTTCCACTCAGGTGTCCCCAATGCTCGCATGTACACACACACCACACACACACACATACACACACACACACACACACACACATTTTCCCAAGCCACATATGCATGTGCACGTGCATGTGTGCATGCACGCGTGCACACACACACATACATACACACACAGTCACTGAGAGACTTCAGGGAAAGCAAAGCTGACACCCATGAATACACATGTGCTTACTGGATATTTTTTTTTTCTGTCTCTTGCCTCTTCAGCAGCTGTGTTCATGTAAACCATTGTTGTTGTTGCTGTGGTTGTTCTTGTTGTATTGTTGTTGTTTTGTTTTGCTTTTGTACAGAGTGTGTAAAGTAGGAGAGATTTCTAAGTGTGACTTGCAATAGTCTGTCAGGGAAGGACGCGCTGTCCGTGAGGTATTCCCCGTCTCTCTCTCTCATCCTCAGCCAGGGGGACACGTTACCTGCGCAAGCTTCTCTGAGCTTCTTTCAATAAACTATCAAAATCCAGAGAGTCATACTTGCTCTTGGTGGAAGCAGGGTCAAAGTCATCTGAGTTTGAATCTGAAAGAGACCCAAACTAGGGGTTAGATGGACCCTTTTCTTGACCACCATCAACATGATGTTTGATTTAAGATTAAAGGAGGTCACTGCAATTTAGCTACTCAATGTACTTCATGCCCAGATTTGCATGTAGATTAACAGAGGACGCAGTGGAGAGCACTCAGAAACATGACAGAATGAGGTAAGGGGTGACGCTGATCAAGATGCAGTAGACTCACACTCTGACATGTCGAATTGAAACCACGTTACACAACTACTTAAGGGTAATAAGATAAATAAAGAACTGTTAAATGAATGAATGGAATGAATGCACCCTTGTTGACTTGTTTTAGATATGAATACTCCCAGGATATAGGCAGAGCATACTTCAATATCTCTGCTTCACAGATGGCCACCCCATCTGTATCTTCATCCTGACAGGCCAAGTTGTTCCTCAATAATGTAGACACAGAGGAACAAGTAGAAGCTGGAAATGATTTCCCTTTACAATGGGATTTGTTGTATGGAGTATAAAAGCCATGTGAATGAGAGGGAGGAGCATCATCTCATCATGTCCCTGAATTTCCAGCCTGCTAGTCCGTTTGTGATATGAAAGGCAACACAATCTGGTCAACTGGTCAACACAATCTGGTACAAACTTTCCCCCATGAAAAGCCTAGGAAAGTGCTTCCTACTCCAGGAGGGTAGATTCCACCTCTTCACTGTTAAAAGGGAGAAGGAAAGTATGCTGGTATATATAAAACCACATTCTTTGTTAGATCTCTGAACTAGTTTAAGTCAGGTTTTATGAAAATGTGCACAAGCTAGTTCAAGTACTCCTTAACCAAAAAAAGTGATTTTTTTCAGCAATGATGAAAGTTCAATGGCATTAAATATTTCTGATGTTTCTCCACTGGTATCTGAGAACGTCAGATATTTCTTGCTAGTCTTACAAGTAAGAAAGGATGGCTTGGGAGTATCCACAAGTCTTTTGAAATTATATTCCTTCTTTGTAAAACAATTATTAGAAAAGGAGGCAAAACCTTTCTGGAATATATTAACAATTATACAAAATATATGAACATTGTCTACTTTTTCCTAAGTTACAATAGAAATGCTTCAAGTGAGGGAAAAGTATAATTATAAAAAAATTGAAGCTGAATTATTGATATAAATATTTTGCACCAGGCACAATGGCTCAAGCCTGTAATTCTAGGTACTTGGGAGACAGAGATAGGGAGACAGGAGTTTAAGCAAAGTGAGGAAAACCAAATATGAGGATCGCAATCTAGGTCAGCATGGGTATAAAGCAATACCCTACCTTTAACAGAACAACCACCAGAAGATCTGGTAGAGGGGCTCAAGTGGTAGCATACCTGCCTCACAAGCATGAGGCCCTAAGTTCAAACCAGATATGCTCCCAAAAAGAAAACAGAAAATGTTTTGCAGAGACAAGGAGTTTAGCTAGGTGAAAGTACATTTGATTTTAATTCCCAGGACCATAAAAGGGAAGAAATCATAAGGCTCCAAGTGCTTTAGCTCAGCCTGATTTCTGTTCCCACCATGTTTCAGTCAATTTTCAATATTTCGACAAGGTATTCTTCCACTTAAAAAACAAACAAAAAATTCATTCTGGGAAGGTGGCTCAGTGGTAGAGTGCTTGCATTGCATGCATGAGGCCCTGGGTTCAATTCCTCAGCACCACATAAGCAGAAAAAGCCATAAGTGGTGCTGTGGCTCAAGTGGTAAAGCACTAGCCTTGAACTGCAGAGCTGAGGGACAATGTCCAGGCCCAGAGTTCAGGCTCATGACTGACTGAAAAAAGAAATCATTCTACCATCCTTGATTATTGATTTTTTCCAAGAAGTTTTTTTGGTTTCTTTTTCTTCTTCTTTTGGCCATGTAGGAACAACAACAATGACAAGCTTCCTCAGACATAAAAGCAAGGCAGGGGAAAAGGACAGTCTTCCTCAACAGCATCTTAAATCGTCAATTCTTTTTTTTTTTTTTTTTGTGGGGGGGGGGGGGGGGTCCAGTCATGGGCCTGAACTCTGGGCCTAGGCACTGTCCCTCAGCTCTTCAGCTCAAGGCTAGCGCTCTACCACTTGAGCCACAGCACCACTTCTGGCTTTTTTCCTTTTTGCTTATGTGGTGCTGGGGAATTGAACCCAGGGCCTCATGCATGCAAAGCAAGCGCTCTACCACTGAGCCACCTTCCCAGCCCAAATCATCAATTCTTTTTTTTTTTTTTTAATTTAATTTAATTTTATTTGTGAACATACTGTACAGAGGAGTTACAGTTACATGGGCAGGATAATGCGTACATTTCTTACCAAGCATTGCAGCCTCCTCCTTTGTTTACCCTTCACATCCCTTCCCAGCCTCCCCCCCCCCCCCCCCCCCCGCACCAACGTTGTAGAGCTCGTTTCCAAATCATCAATTCTTAAACCACACAAGCTTCTACCTTTTCTCCTCATGGTCACCTACTAAATGGTGTTTACTTGTATTACAGAGGTTTTCATGACCAGCTTGTTTTCAATTCAAAAATCTTTTGTGCAGAGACAAAACAAGGAAATTCTAGCTCTGTACAGGGATTGGTTTGAAGTCAGAACACCATTGTGGCTCAGGATGGAAGATTCAGGAGGGTAGTCTATGGGATAAGCGTGCATCAGGAAACCTTTCCTGGGAAGGATTTTTTAAATGATTTAATTTTTATTTACTTATTTAGTTTTAGCTGGTCCTGTGGCTTTAACTCAGAGCCTGGGTGCTGCCCCTGAGCCTCTTTGTGCTCAAGGCTAGCATATCACTTGAGCCACCACACAGCACCACTTCTGGCTATTTTTCTGGTGGTTAATTGGAGATAAGAGTCTCACAGACTTTCCTGCCCCGGCTGGCTTCAAACTGTGATCCTCAGATCTCAGCCTCCTGAGTAGCTAGGAGCCATTGGCGCACAGCTTAATTTACTTTTTAAATTATCTTTAATTAGTTGTATTAAGAAGGTGCCAGATAAAAAATCAGTTTATGGGCACAATGCATCTTGATCAGTGGTACCCCTTTCAACATTTTCATTTCACTTGGACCCACCCTTTCCCTTACTTTTTTTGTTTTTTTGTGATAGACACAATGAATATGCTCTACTGCATGCTCCTCCCCTTACTCCCTTCCTTCCTCTTCCTCTCTCCTCCTGGCTCCACTCCCTCTTAGATGTACCCATTTCCTGGTATCGATTTTGTTGGGCTTGGATGTGATCTTTCCAAAAAGGTTATACTATTGGAGCTCTTCATAGAGGTTTTCATACTTCTGTTAATTTATTTGTAATCACATGCATATCATCCGGTATATTTGCTTATAGATTTCTAGGCACATTCTATCTGCCACACATGAGAGAAACCTTTCAACCTTTGTCTCTCTGTGTCTGGCTTACTTCCCCTAATATAGTCTTTTCTGGTCTTTGCACTTCCACACAAATGGAACAATCTCAATCTTTCTAATAGATGATTATAATTCCATTGTGGAAATTTGAGAGGAAGCAGAAAAGCCTACCTCTGTATTATTCTAAGTGAAGCCTAGAGTTTTCACATTTCTGTATTTTCTTGGGCAAATATTACAACCCCTATGGAAGCGCAGCCTTGAGAGATCCTTGACTGTAAAATAGTGTACACATGTATATACCCACTTATAAGAACCTTTTGTGTTGAGATATAATGTGGTTGCGTTCAATTCCTGAGGCAACAACAGCATCCTCTCTCCCATGTTCTACTGCACTAACAGGAGGATGTCAGAACACAGTTAGATATACTAACCTGAAAGCTACTCTAATTATTTTTCCAGAGAAATTGTTATAAATAATGATCCCGTATTAATAGAAACAAATCACATCACATTTGTATTCCTAGCACCTGGAAAACCTTTAGCACAAGGTAAGGGACTCAAATTAATGTTTGTTGAAAGAATATATTAATCTCAAACACCTGCCTATTATTAAAAGACATGGCTGAAAATATTTGTATTGGGATCTGAGAATGATTTATCAATCAGTTGCAAGGTATATGTAAAATTATGTATGCATTCCAGATGCTGATTATGCAGTACATTGTTTAGAGTTAATAAATGGTCTGTGATGAATTTTTATGTTACTTTTTCTTCTATGCTTAAATGTAAGTTCTGCACTACATCTTTGTCCTGATCAAGCCTGTTGTAATATTAACCCATCTTTTTATTCCAATCCTGTCTTCTTTAATATTTTGATCAAGGTGTTTTAGAAAGATTCATTTGCTTAAGATATAAACAAACAAACAAACAAAAGAAACACAGATTAGAGATTCATATAAATCAGGTCTCACACCTTGACTTCATCATCATAGCCTTGATCAAGTCACATTAAACTTACAGTCTCAAAAGTAGAAGCTGGATCGTTATGCTTTGCTGTAATAATAATGTATGCATCCTTAACTGGTTTCAATGGCTGAGAAATAGAATGTGTGAGCTATCTTTATTTAGAGGATCAAATAAATATAGCAAAAAGATATTGCTTGAATGTGTCTAAAATGATGTCACATTACTGACTTAGTAAATTTAACATGTATCACATCCTTTTCAATATACCCCTGAGCATACATATGTTTCTAATTTCTCTGAGTAGCTATATTTTCTGTTTATCTATTTATCATCTATCTATATTTTTCTGGGTACCAGGGCTGAACTCTGCATCTGTGAGCTGTCGCTTAGTTTTTGGCCCAGGAATAGCACTCTACTACTTGAGCCAAAGCTTCATTTCTAACCTTTTGCTAGTGAATTAGAGACAAGAGTTTCATGGATTTTTCTGCCTCGGCTGGCTTTGAACCTGGACCCTCAGATTTCAGTCTCCTTAGTGGCTAGGATTACAAGTGTGAGGCACTAGAACCTGGTGTTCTTTATATGCTTATGCTCATGAAAGTTTGTGCTCACACATGTTTGAATCATTCAACTTGAGCCCTTTAGGGAATAAAGACAAGACATCAAAATGTCCCTTGATTTCATAACTACCACTATTGTTGACTCTCCCCTTTTAAAAGAATTCTAAATGTCTAACTTCTCACAACTAACATTTTAAATTATAGGCATACCCACTATTTTTTGAGCACTTATATTATGCCAGCCACTGTGTTAACATCTTCAGATGTAATTAATATTTCTCCATAACACCACTAAGATAGTTTACAAGGAAAGAAGCAGAAGCTAATGGAGTTAAAATGCTTCAAGTCAGGGATGACAGGTCTCTACAGCCAATGTTCTTTTGAATGCATGCTCAGAAAGTCTATCGCTCATGCCACTGAAGTGCTTGAGGCGATTGGAAAATCCCTTGCTACTACAATGCACATCCAATACACTTTTCAGAAAATGTGGAACAAGCTTAGAAATGGTGAAGTCTCTATGGCTGCTGGCTAGGCAGGGAGATAACGAGAAAGGAAGCATTCTTCTTCGAAATATTTCAGGGAGGTGCCAGTTCAATTTGGAAATACCATCCAATCCTCCTCGACCATGATGAATCATGATCTGAAGGCCCCTCTAGGTAGCTTATTTTAAACTCAAGATGTTTTGGGAGGCCAGAATCACCTAGCCTTCATCACTAAAAAAATAAATAAATAAAATAAGTCAAATCAACTCAAGGCTCCAATCTGTCTTGACTGTTTTTATCAGCCAACATTTGAACAAATGACTTGCCACATTTTATATTTTCATCCCTAGGCCTCTATCTCGCTAACAGTCAGCTGCCTCTCCCCTGTCTCCACTATCTATTTAGCCTGAGAAGTGAATTATAGCATATTTCCTCTGAACAATGCACAGCACCTAGATCAATTACTCTGGGAAGACATCACTTTGTTGCAAGGGAAAAAAGAAACCCCAGTACTCACTCGGTGTTCATTTCTTTATCTCCAGCCAGAACAATTGCAGGTAGATTTCTAATAATACCGAGGAATACATGTACAGGCTAATTTCCCTCATATTATAAATTAACTTCAAATAATTACGTCCCATTTGCCACTTTCCTTCCTTCATTCCCTCCTCATGAAAATTTAAAGGCTTCTAATATACACATTGGGAATGGTATTTGATAGAACAAAATTAAAGCTACAAAGGAAATTAAGATGTCAAGTGTGACATTATTTATAATATCAAAAATTACATATATCTATACATATATATCTTGGAAGGGGTGGGTAGAAGGATAGTTAGCAGATTGAAGTGATGAGACAAATCAAGATGCATTGTATAAGCCAGGAGCTGGTGGCTCTCGCCTGTAATCTTAGCTACTTAGGAGGCTAAGATCTGAGGATCACAGTTCAAAGCCAGCCCAGGCAGAAAAGTCCATGAGACTCTTATCTCCAATAAACCACCAGAAAACTGGAAGTGGTGCTTTGGTTCAAGTGGTAGAGCATTAGCCTTGAGCCCAGGCCTAGAGTTCAAGCCCCATGACCGACCAAAAAAAAAAAAAAAAAGCATTGTAAACATGAAACTGCTTTGTTAAATGGCAAAAACATTGAAAGAGGTGACATTGATCAAGATACACTATATTCATAAACTGCTTTGGTGAATGGCAACTCCTCTGTACCACTACTTAAAGATAATAAATACGTTAAAAAATTTAAAATTAGGTCTGGGAAGGTGGCTCAGTGGTAGAGCGCTTGCCTTGCATGCCTGAGGCCCTGAGTTCAATTCCTGAGCACCATATAAGCAAAAAGAAAAAAGCCGAAAGTAGTGCTGTGGCTCAAGTGGTAGAGCGCTAGCCTTGAGCTGAAGAGCTGAGGGACAGCACCCGGGCCCAGAGTTCAGGCCCCACGACTGGACCCCCAAAAAAAATTAAAATTGCATTGTACACATGTGGCTGTTATAAAATAATTGAGTCTAATGATAAAATTTGTTCAACAAAATACTAGGAGATCACTATGATGTATTAATGAAATATGACTCTGTGACTCACAGGAAGTGAACTTACAGTGTTAAGAAACAGCAGAACATATGTGTGTGTATGCATGTGTATGTGTATAAAATATATGTATAAAGTGGCCTGGAAATAAGGTAGTAGGCTTTACAAGGCAAAATAGTGTAAGCTAGCTCATTCATTTATTAGTTGTGGTTACTGCTTGAGAATGGGCTGATGGGTGATTTTACTTTTCTTCTTAACTATTTTTATCCAGCTTTCATAACAGGAAAAACAAATATTTACTTATGTCTCCCTTTCATTATTTGAAAATGGGGATGATAACAGTAATGTCCACCTCTTAGAATAATCGTGTGAAGCAAATGAGAAAATGTTTTCAGAACTCCTGGCCTTCTGTTCTAGCACAGGGAAGCACTCACCAAATAATAGGGTTTGTGTCTTCTGTTCTAAAGAAAGTGAGCACAGGATCATTTACCATATGAAATTTTACTTTCTCCTCTCATTGTAATTCATGGAAAATGACAGTTTTCCTAAGAGCTTGTGAAATAATGAGGAGAAAAGAGGCACCAGTGCCTGGCTCAGATTTTTTTTTTAACCTATGAAGTAACTTCAGAAGCAAGGGGCTTACACTGAGCATATTCTCTTCCCTAAGCCCACTGTGGCCATACTGTGGTTTGTACTAAAGAATTGAGAATAGTCATGGAAAGCAAAAGCAAATTACAAACACACACACATAAACAACACATAAAACATACAAATTTTACTACATACAAAGCACAATACCTTCTATAAATATATACACAGATGGTGCAGACAACACAAGCAGTATCTGCCCTGTGTTGCTAGGAGTAGGCCCCTTGCTTCTAAAATTAAGTCACATGTGTAAAAACAGTATTATCTGAGATAGGTGCTATTGACTCATGCCTGTAATCTTAGCTACTCGGGAGGCTGGGATAAGAAGATCATGGCACAAAGACAGTCCAGGCAAATGCCAGAGATTCTTATCTCCAAATATCCAACCAAAAGCCAGAAATGGAAGTTTGGTGCAAGTGGTAGAGCAAAAGAATCCTAATCAAGAGCACAAAGGCCCTGAGTTCAAACTCTAGTACCTTCACAACCAAAATAAATAAATGAAAAAATTTAAAAAATATTGGTATTCAAACATCTCCCCTACCACCTCCGGTAAAGTAAGAGTGACACTCACACCCAAGGGGCCCGCTCAGTGTGTGGCTTCCATTTCTGAGTGTTTTTTTCTCAAATGGGTTTTTCATTCCATGTGCAATAAAAGCCATACCTAGATCTGCATAGTTAGACTTGACAAATTGCTTGCGTCCACAAAAGTACAGCTCAAAGTCGCTTTCGTTCGACCTGCGCAGAGTGTATCCATTCTCAAGAGCGGCAAAAGCATCACAGGTGTAACGGTAGGTGATGAAGCCGTAGCTGTCTCTGGAATGGACAGAGAAGACACATTCAGTGCAGGGAAGACTGTAAGCCCTTCCGCTTTGGGAGACGTCACAGGCGCCCAAGCCTCAGCCACTGCAGCCATTTATCAGTGTGATTGTCCTGTCAAGCTGCTAAATACTTATTTCTGAGACAGGAAAAATCTCAACTAGAAAGATTAATAAATAGGGATGAAAGAAAATAAATAAGGTTCTGAACTCAACATGTCATCTGTCAAAGCACTTACATTGGCAACTCCCATCCCAGTCATCTTAGAGCCATAATTTTTAACATACGTCAGCCTCTAAACAAGAAATAATCTTGAAGATCCTCACCCATCATCCCGCAGATTTACAGTGCACTCCTCAATTTCACCAAAAACTTCAAAGCGGTCCCTCAGTTCTGTCCGTGTTGTGTCAGGTCTGATTTTGCCAACATAAATCACACGGCGTTCTTCCTATAGTGAGGAGGGGGAACGGGAGGCAGAGGAAAGGAGAGACTTTAGTGAGGTCTGGACCCCAGAAAGAAAGTAAGCCTGGAGAAGCCCGTAATTCACTAGAGCAAACCAGACTCCATTTCCATGGAAAGACTACATTGGATCCAAGTTCCACTCTCCGTTCCTTCAGTTTCAGTCTTTCCCTTCACATTTCCACATTTTTCTTAAATCCTCATTATCAATGTCATTGCGACTCTCTCGCCTGGGATTCGGAACAAAAATATTGAGTCTTGTCTTCTCTGCTCTCTTTGTCCTGTCCACCTATTCAGACACTCATTAGGTGGTGTCATGTTTTGCTTCCAAAATCCTGATCTCTGTCTCTTATTCCCTCTCCTTTAAGCCATAATCCATAAGCACATCCTTTCTTAGATCCTCAACTTTGTATTTTCTTTCTTCCCATTTCTCCTTTCACTGCAGACAGAACACTCTTTGCTAACCCAACATGAATGCAAGTCCTGTTAATAGCACCTAGAACTCTTAATAAAATATCAAAATCACTAATAAGACCTACCAGGCAGACCCTGCATTATGCATCCCCCCTTTTTTGCTTCATAATCTTTTTCCCCTTTGCTCCTTTCTTTACTTAATGGTAGCTTCCAGTCTCAGTGAGCCCCATGTCCCCCAGAGCCGAATGTGGTCCTTCATCGCACAGCTCTTCTGCTGCTACCTCGGAACATCCTTTCCATAGTTACATCTTCAGCTCAAGCATTCATTTCCCACCTGAGGTCTGAGATGAAGTCTGGCTTCCTATAAATACTGCTCATGTGGAAAATTTTATTTTCCCTTTGTATTTCTCTGGACAATTATAAATTAACTGTTAACTTAAAAAATAGGGTTGGGATGTAGTGCAATGGCAAAGCGCTTGCCCAGCAAGTGCAATGTCCAGGACTAAAAAAGAAAAGACAACAAAAGGAAAAAGAAAAAAAAAAAAAAGACAGCAGAGCTGGGAGGGGCTCAGTGGTAGAGTGCTTGCCTTGCATGCATGAGGCCCTGGCTTCGATTCCTCAGGACCACATAAGCAGAAAAGGCCAGAAGTGGCACTGTGGCTCAAATGGTAGAGTGTTAGCCTTGACCTGAATTGCTGAGGGACATTGTTGTTCAATGTTGGCCTCCTTGAGCCAAGGACAGCTTCATAAAAGTAGCAGCCATAACTCCATCTTTCTTTTCACTCCTTTATATGAAGTACAGTTGAAACATAATATAAACCCAATGGATATTTGTAGTAAAACTCATCAATCACTAATTACTTCATTTTCAAAACACTATCCTTTCAACCTTCATTGCATCAAAGATGCCTAACTCTTTGAGATGCTCCAACACAAAGGCAAATGAAAGTTTGTTTGTCCTAGGAAAGGTGAATTTGAGGCTCAAATAGAAGTATAGAGGAGTTACATGTTTGCATGCCTTCACTCATAAAAATTACCTCTGGAAATCAGAGGTGGACACCACTGGAAAAGCTGATAAAACACAAACTCCTCAGATTACAAACTGACCAGAGGAACACAGCAGACAGACCAGGTGACCAATGGGACTTGCATGTAGATTGTATGTGTCAATCAAAGTCTGTAACTGGGATGTTTCAGAACCCTGTGCGGCCTGCCAGGCAGGAGATAGAAATGGATGGGTGAGGCTCCGGCTGGAGCAGTACTGCACACGTTAGCAAGGGAATCATAACACCGCATTCCATTCTGTTTACGCACCCAGCTTTGGCCCAACTGCCAAATGTGATGGCACTGTTATCTAAACTTAAACTTCCTGGCGCCTGCTTGCACGGGTGTTCTGGCTTTATTTTTTAAATGAGCCTTTTAGGAAAGTTACTACTGTATAGAGTGAAAGGAGAGGGAATCGTAGATGAGAAGAAAAGAAATTGAGCTGTAGAAAAGAAATTGCTCAGCTGCCATTATGGGAATACACACAGCCTATGTATTCAAGGAAATTTGAAGTTAAAGCTAAAATCAACCATATGTACACCCATATGCAGACATATCGGGACAGTTTCTGAATTGCCGCTTTATACCATGTTGAGTGCAACAATAATCCCACAAAAAGGAGATAAACCACAAGACCTTTGATAATGGATACTGATATGTTCTTTACTAAAAAGAAGATGTAACCTAGAAGGAAGAAATGGGGAATCAAAAGCCTGCTCCATAATTGCTTAAATTACTTTTTATTCTACCATCTCCTTTTATGAAATACAGCAATGGGTCATGTCTTGCTCCCTTACAAAGGGCGAGGATTGAACACATGGGCAATTCTCAATGGAGAAAACCATTGAAGTGCTTTGTTTTCCAAATGCTAAAAATGAAAATAGAAAATATCTGAGGGTCTAGAAGCAAAGACAAAACTTTCCAAGATTACCCATGATGTCTGGCAAAGAAACAGTTCTTTTTAACATATTAGACAGATGAATAGATTTCATCTCTCTTAAAAAAAACCCTTAACACTTGTAGCCAATTTTTCAAGACATTAATTTCTAAACAGGAGATGAAAGGAAAAGAAATCAAAATGCTTAATAACATTTCCAACTTCTTAAAGGCTTGAAGGAACTTGAAACCTTTGGAAGAAAAGCTCCTTGAAAAATGATTTTTCAGACCAGTTTTCACTATTGAGGAGGACGGAACATTTATCAAATAACTTTTAGCTTCAATTTTCACAAAAGCTCAGTTACTGATGGGGTAGATAATAAAATTGAAGAGTTATGTCACATTAATGGCCACAGTAAATCCTCGTTATATCAAAACACAGAACATAAATAAAGGAAAATAAACCTGACTGAATTAACTGACTTTGTATTACCAAGTCTTTATCAAAAGATTATATGCTCCCAGTTAGCTGGGGAAAAGGAAACTATGGTTGGGTCTTACCAAATCATAAACTATACTCGATAAGAGAGCCTTGACTAAGAAATCACAGAAAGCTGCAGGGGAAGTAACACTGAACTCTAGGCAGGTCTACTCCTGTGTTTGATGATCTTATGGAGTATCTCACTAAAATGTCTTAGATTTGTAGATATTAAGAAGAAAGAGCCTGGTATAATGCAGATTTGGGTTTCAAGAACATTTAATCTATTATCCCAAGTCAGAGTAATATACAAGTTCTTTCTTAGTTTCTAAGAAAACAATATACCAACCTTGCCAATGATATACTTGATCTCATTTCTAGAATAGGTTCAATATGACTTTTTTCAAAATTTCCCAAGTTAAGGCTTAGGGTATAGATCAGTGGTAGAGCATATATTAGACCGTAGGTTCAATCCCCAGCAATGTTGCAGGTGTGGGTACATGCCCCGTGCCCGTACACACACACACACTTTTGAAGATACTATAAATACCAAGGATGAGTTAATGCTGTTACAAGGGTTTTTCTAAAAGTAAAAGCATATAGAGGGGCATGGAAAGATATGGATGGGCTGAAAGACCAAAATTTTCTTTGAAAGTCTTTTCCTTCTGCTCTTAATATTAAATATACTCATATCTAATTCAGCAGTCATTTACTAAGTGCCTGCTAGAGGAGGATGTTCTTTTTATTTTTGTGCCAGTCCTGGGGTTTGAACTCAGGGCTGGGGCACTGTTCCTGAGATTTTATTTTTTTTATACTCAAAGCTGGTGCTCTACCACTTGGAGCCAGAGCTCCACTTCTCGTTTTTTATTTTGGAGAGAGAAAGAGAGGGGGGGGGAATACTCAATGTGAAATCTATCATATTAACATTTATCAAGGTACACATTCCCATGTTCTCAAACATAGGAAGACTGTTGTGCAGCAGATCTCTAGAATTTGTTCATCTTGCCATGAAATTAATATTTCTAAATACTGAACTTAAAAGTCAATCACACAACCTCTCTTCAATCACCTGAAATAACTGCTTTAAAGGACTAAATACTCCAGCAGCACAAGAAAAGGCTTGAATGAGAAATGCATTTATTTTCTCAAAAAAGAAAGAAAGAGAGAGAAAGAGAGCAAGGAAGCAAGGAAGGAGGGAAGGAGAAAGAAAAGGAAGAAAGAAAGAAGGCAAGAAAGAAAGAAAAGAAAGAAGGAAAGAAAGAAAGAAAGAAAGGAAGGAAGGCAGGCAGGCAGGCAGGCAGGCAGGCAGAAAGAAAGAAAGAAAGAAAGAAAGAAAGAAAGAAAGAAAGAAAGAAAGAAAGAAAGAAAGAAAGAAAGAAAGAAAGAAAGAAAGAAAGAAAGAAAGAAAGAAAGAAAGAAAGAAAGAAAGAGAAAGAAAGAAAAAGTGAGCAACTGACAAATCAGACAACTTTTGTTTTCCTTTGGAAGAACTCTCTAGTCATGGGTGATGATTTACTGTTTCTGGCTCCTGGGCTTTGTGCTGACCAACAGGGAAGAGGAAGGAAATGATATAGTCATTGCCCAAACACATCTGGGTTTGGTTCTAAGCACTAAGCCATATCATAATGTCTACATTTGTCCTTTAAATGTACACCCCATTATCATGTGGTCTGGCAGGAAACTACAGAATGCGAATGGAGGTGGGTATCAAATTCCACCAGATATTAAAGCAGTCTGTTTAGACACCAAGTATGAAACGCTGCCTGCCAGGGTCCCAATGTACCCTGCACTATCTCAGGCTCAGGAGATAGACAAAGGCAGAAGGTGGCTTGGTTTGGGGAGAACAGTTTAGCTGGGGAGTCATGTGAAAGCAGCTACTGAAATGATGGTGAGAGTAAACCACAATCCATGATTCTGTGTTAGGAATTGCTTGTCAGTAGTACTCTTTAACTTTCTGATTCAGGACATATATTCAAATTGGACTCGACTGAGACTTTTAGAGAAGGCACAGGCTATGAGAAGTTTATACATTTCCTTAACTCTCTCCATGGAACTCAAAATCAGTGTTTTGCAGCCCACAAGACAAAGACGAAAGACAGTAATTCTGTAAAAATATCCAAAGATCATGGTTCAAAGCTAACCCTAGCAGAAAAGTTCGAGACTCTTATTTGTAATTAACCAGCAAAAGGCCAGAAGTGGAGGTATGGCTTAAATAGTAGGGTGCCAACCTTGAAAGAAAACCAGTGGAGTCATGAGACACTGAGTTCAAAACCTAACAAAAGTCTATCATATGCTTTATCATACTGCATCACCTGTTTATACACCATTACCTGCCTAGAACCTCTCTGGAGAAAGAGACAAGTCTTCCTTAAATTTACATCCTAAGCACCAGGCAAATGATTGTCAGAGTCATGAAATTTCATTTAGTTAGCATATAACTCCACAAGTGAGAAATGCTTCAACATAAAGTCCAATATCTGTATTTAGCATTTATTACCTATAGTCATTATGTAAACAATTTCTCTGTCCTAATTTGCTTTGTGAAATCTCTTTTTCAAAACGAAAGACAAAACAAACCCTCAAGCCAAACTTCACATCAGTATCTAGTTAATGTATAATGATTTCATATAAGCCAATTTGACACTGGTACTATGACAAATCCTCTTTCAAAGAGAACTGATATTGTCTTAGTTAAAGAATTAACTAAGATCTGCCAGTCCTGTCCACTGTGTTCTTGCTGTCCTGTCTTGACATCTTGTGTTGTACAGACACCATTAAGGCATTTTCATAGTAAAAAAAAAAGAATTAACTAAGAAACTAGTCAACATTTGAGTCACACAAAAGGAAGGCAGGGTAGTAGCAATTTACAAGCTGAAAATGGTATTGCAAAGAATACTTTTTACATATCTAGACCAATTAAACACTCTATTCAGAAATACCCCAAGTAGTAAAAGAGATCTCTCCCTCCCTTTCCTTTCCTGAAGTAAACACATACCATTTATCTACACATTTTAATTAAAATAATAATTTGTTTTGCTTAGAACTAGATTGTTTTTTTGCTCAAAATGAGAAAAATATATGATGAAACTATTAGTCTCTCTCTCTTTAGGCCCTATTTTTGAGAGAAACATCAAGAATTTCATATGAATTTGTGAATGCTATTTTCCTACTATATACTTGCCCAACATGGTTCTCTTATGTAATCATTAACACTAATGTGTCATGTTAAAAGGCTTTGTAAACTATATGGCATTATATAAATGTGCATTATTAGTATTATCAAGTAGCCCATTAATTAAATACAGCAAAATTAGAAAAATGGAAATTTTCATTTTCATTAGTCTTCCTAAGTATTAACTAATTATACTCTGGTAAATGTTAATATTATAGTCCATTTAAAAGTTGAATAAAATTAGGAAAAGAGTTGTTATTTGTACAAGGCCTTTGATTCAGCTGTAGGTACATTCAGAATTAAATGGGAGCAAATGCCCCAGAACTTTAACCTGACCAATTACTTCTCATTTCCTTTGCCTCAAGTGACTGTGATTAACAAACTTCTCATTTAGCATTTTCCCCCAAGTTGGTAACTGTTGGTTAATGCTTCATTTTTGACTCTAAGCTCTTTTATAATGGTTTCTTAAAAATGCATTGATAATCCTGGATTTTCTTAAAGGTACCATAGAAACCCAAACTTTATAGTTAAAACTCATTTCCCTAAGCTTTCGTTAACTTAAATGAAAGATATGTGAAATAGTGATGTTTTTGAAGCCCCCTGAGCTGATAGCACAGACAGGCAGCAGGTGCAATAAGCCAAAGCAATGTTATAGCTTATTGATTAGCCATGGCTTCCCTGGAGGACCATATTGGGTAAGACCCAAGGCTCTGTGGGAGTTCAGAGGAAGAATTCTGAGATCAATTAGGAATGTCTGTCTTGGGCATGTCCTGGATGTGGACAACTGGAGTGTTGTATTTTTACTGTCCCAGGTCTAGGTTGATAAACAGCAGCAGGGAGCTGGGGTAAAGTCTACTTATTAGCCACTGCTGAGAAAGCATATCGACATTCTGAGAACAAGCAAGTTTAAGGAAGCCCGGGTCTTCACACAGAAGACTCGGCTTTATATAAATGTCAAGTGAACATATCACCCTATTATAAGTGGTTATGTAACCACTAACGGCTTACTGAGAAGTCATTCATAAGAAAGGTATATGAATCCCCTACTCCCTTAAGTGTTGGACCACTACAAGAAAGAAATGACCACTTTCTTAACAAGTTTTCCTCCACATTCACCTTTAAATCCAACACAAATCCAGTTACTTTATGGTCAACCTGATCTTCAGATCTGCCCCCTCCAGATGAAATCTGGACTCAACCAGCCATACCTCCTCCTCACTCTCATAGAGAAAAGAAGCAACAGGCAGCACCAAGAAAAACCCATTCCTCCAACTAGTTTTCCCAAGAAAAACTTGGAAACCACAATGAACCTAAAAATAACCACTATCATGAGAAATGAATGGACTTTAGCTGTGTTAACAGGGACTAAACACCCCCTGATATGTTCACAAAACCTTAGCTTTAGCTGATTTTCTAATCTACCCCCAAAATAAATAAAAAAAAAAAAAAAGCACATTAGGGAGTGAGGTGGGTGGGGGAGGGAGAAAATTCGTTCCAAGCTGCTTACGATTGCCTTCTGCCTCTGCCTCTCTCTCTGTTTGGACCTTTCTGATTCCCGCTTCTCATGTTCTTTGCGATATTCCTCCCGCTTCAGCCGTTCATGTTGATACGCCTCGTAACTGTCATATCTGGAAAACATAACTTCATCATCAAACCAGCCACCTCCCTTGACATGACAACATGAATCATAATTTGGGGAGGGGAGAAAGGCTTTGGATAATCTCTTGTCATTGAAAGGAGGGGGAGAAGAAAAGCAGCTATAAGTAAAGGACATGCTTCATTACCTGGGTCTCCGGCTGTAGGGCGATCTTGAACGTGATCTCACATACAAGGGAGAATTTCGGTGTGTGCGGTATCTGCAGTGGCTTGACTCATAATAGTAGCAGGACCTGAGAGAGAGGAGGAAAATAAAAGGGACATTTGCAACTGTCACCCCCCAGTTTATTGGCATTAGTGAACATTCTCCAGAACACTGTCCTACATAAACTGGCTTTTCCTTCCTACCTACTAGTGAGACATTCCAATGGCAGTTTGGATCAGCTGATCAGCTCTAAAGGCCTGCAGCCATGTCTCCTTCTCTGGGCCTCTTAATGGTACTAACCCTGAGCAACCAGGCCCAGCCCGTTGTCAGCTGTATCTGGGATGGAGTTCAAGTTTCCTGGCACAGGACAGCTCTCCCAATAATGAGAAATATTTGATGAGCAAGTCTTTTACCAATTGCTGTCTCTATTCTTATGGCTCAAAGTGAGAGATGTAAGAGAAAATAGGAAGGAAGAAATGGATAAGAACATTACTAATTCTAGCAACCCTGGGAATGGTGAGGGTAAGGGGCTGAATGGGTTGTGGGGTCAGAAGGATTCTTTGACTTCCTGGGAAACACCGAAGGCGTTGGCTGGGTTTGGACAAGGTTTACCTGGAAGAGGATCTACTGCCTGGGGACCTTGATCTTGACCTGGAATACGGTGATCGTGAACACGATCTGTGTCGAGAAAAGGACCTTGAACGAGAGCGCATCCTTTGGGGTCTCTGAGAAAATAAGGATTTGGGTGGTGATACTGAATCTCTACACGGAGAGTTAAAAGAAGAGCAAGAAGGCGACACATCGAACAACGAGTAGGATCGCGTGCCATCCCACGGGTAGCTCAGTTTATCACTTTCATCTTCACTGTCATCAAACAGGCCGTCCATGGCTAGTCCTGAATTTATAAACATAGGTAGTTTGGAGAATTGTTCATTACTGAAGTCACTGTCCCTCAGTTCACTGGTCTTGTCTGCTTCGTCGTCAAAAACAGCTTGACTGGGATGGCCGAAGTGCTTGTTCAGCTCGGCCCGAATTTCCTGGTCTTGGAGCTGTTTTCTGGTACTGCAGGGTGAGACCTGCTTGCTGGCCTCCAAAGTCTCTCTCAGGTAGCACTGGTCTGAATCCGTGGAAGAACAAATGTGCCTCTGCCAGTCAGAGGAGGCATCTTTGTAGGTTAGTTGTCTGGAGTCTTGGAGCTCCTGCGATATATTGATGAGTATTTCCGTTTTGGAATTAATGGACTGACAATAGTCATGGTCACCAAACAGCCGTAGGCTGGGTCGTTTGGGCTTCCTTTCCTCGTGTCCACTGCTGAGCGCAGAGGACTTACTGAGCTGTGCGTACAGCTCAGATTGCTCCGGCCCTTTCTTGGTGGAGTGATTGCTTTGGGTAGCAGAAGACTCACTGTACCGGGGTTTCTTTGATGGTGGTGGCACTGCAGTCTTGCAAGAGGACTTCAGCTTGGGAGAAGCCCTGAAAGGGCTATCTTGGTTGGCTTTATGAGGAGGAGTGGTAGGTGGAGTTAGGCCTAAGGTTAAACACAAAACAAAACAAAAACAAAAACAGAAAAAGAAAGAAAAATAATAATAGAGAGAGATGAAGGAAAGAGATGGAGAGATAATGTTCTTAAATGATAAGACTCATTTCTTTTTAAACTTGCCAAGATTTCAGACCAGGTTTAAAACTCAGTTAAAGAAGAAGAAAGAAATTCACACGATCTGAAAAACTATGTCTTCTCCTAAGCCTCTGTCACCCAGAAAAGATGGATGGACAAGGCCAAACAGCACAGTAAGGGCTGTGATATTTTGTATCTCAAGACACCAATCAACGTTAAGACATCTGGCTTCTCAGAAAACACGGACGAACGTGCCACTGCTGCCCGGATGGTGCCAGGCATTACCCAGGCTCACATTCTCAAAGGTTCAACATAGGCTGACTAATGGAAAATCAACAAGAATCAGAAGAGAGAGAGAAGCCTTGCAGGCATTGGTCAGCAAACAACATTTCAGAGGATGTCTTGGTTCAAAGGTCTTTGCCCAATCCAGAAAAATCTATCCTTGGAGCCAAGGAATTTAGCATTAAAAAAAAAATGGAGTGGCAGTGAGCATCACTTGAGATGGGAATGACCTAGACAAGTTTGAAGTTACGTTCAGTCCAACAGACGAGACAACCACAGACGAATTCGGGGAAATGGCTTGACGGTAATGATTCTTTGCCTCCACAGTTCATTAACTTAGTAAACCATGGCTAATGTAGGTATAATACATTCTTGTAAGCATAACTAATACATGCTGTCGAAAATATGGTCCTGCGACAGAAACCAAAGTGCCCGGTGGTGTAAATACCACTATGCCGGGGACCATTTTATATAGTGCACACGTCACACAGAGTGATGAGACAGAGAGACTGAAACAAATTCAGACTTCAGCAACTAATTAAATTAGGAAGAAGTAAAAGGAGCAAAGGAGTCACTTCTCAGCGGTGGCCATTCCATTTTGTCTCAAAAGGGCAGAGCCTTCTGCCAGACACTATGGTCAAGAAGTCAGAGGCAAAGTAGTTGCCTCTAAGTTTCACCCCTGAGTAAATATGACTCATGCCTGCATGCTGAAGAAGTACTGTGAACTGGCTGGTTCCAGAGTCCAGGGAACTTTGAAGAAGAGCAGGCTGGAGTTCAAATGACTTTTTGCTTACAAGGGAACATTTTAGTTTACAACACACTTTCTATTTAGGAGGAATGGAGGATTGGCGAACGCCACTCAGCAAAAAGAACTTGAAGTCTGTTAACAAGCCTGGGGTTAGACTTAAGGCAACTGCACATTTCAAGGGAAAAAAAGTTCTACCTTGCTGTATGTATGTATATGTATATAATATATATATATATATATATATATATATATATATATATATATATATATATAAAACCAAGTAGGTCACAGTAATCCACATGAAATTTTGATATAAAGCAGAAAGATGCTGCTGCCTTACTCTCTTATTTTCCAATAAAGAAGTGGAAGAAATAAATTGTTTTCCCCCCTCAAAATAAAATATCTGACACCAATATTTGGGAACTTTTAACATTCCTAGCTAATTCTCTCTGTGTAAGGAAAGGTATAGCAATGTCAAGGGTTTGGACTTTGGAATTCCAGCCCAGAAAAGTTGATGTCACACCAGTGCGAATATGAGAGCCTCACAAGTGCTTTTGTGTCGCAGAAAGTCGTGTGTCCTTTTCCCAAATGAAAGTCTGCATCATTCCTCTTATGTTTCCCTTTTCACAGATGAATGTGTCTTCTAGTCCATATAAAACCTTCTACTGCATTCCATTTTCTCCTCTCTCTGTTTCTCTCTCTCTCTCTCTCTTTTCCCACAACATGCTCCCTCTTGTCTGGTTTATCATCTCCACGGCCCTCATTCATACCACAGGCTACATTCAATTTACCAACATAATACATTAAAAAGTATTAAAGCCCAGGAAAGAAATGGCAAGTTCTCAACCACTGTTCACAAGAACCAGAGGAGAACTAATGAGTTGGCTGAGTAAATACCAGTCAAATATACAAAAAGCTACAACCCTAAATTAGAGAACATGACATTCAACTTCCAAAAATCCAGCTTCATAATTTGTTTATGATCACTTTATTTTAGATCACTGTATTTTCTTGTTACCATCTTCAACTTCAAATTATTGTCTTGTCTCTCCAAAGACAAGCAAGTACTTTGTGAAATAATGCTTGGATTAATTAATTGCAACATTTGTGTGTGTGTGTGTGTGTGTGTGTGTGTGTGTGTGTGTGTGTGTATGCGCGCGCGCACGTGCGTGCATGTGCACGTGCACACTGGTTCTGGGAGTTATTCTTAGCACCTGGGCACTATATCTGAGTTTTTTGTGCTCAAAGCTGGTACTCTACTGCTTGAACCACACCTCTACTTCAGTTTTTGCTGATTACTTGGAGATAAGAGTTTCACAGACTTTTCTGACCAGGCTGGCATTGAACTGTGATAATCAGATCTCAGCCTCCTGATCATTGTAACATTTGAACACTTATTTTTATTTTCCTTTTAGATGACTCAGAATGAGAGTACTTCTCATTTCATATGAAATCCAGGCTTTACACATCTCCGTAACCCAGTACCTTCTACTCCCAAATGTATGTGTTTTGACAGATATTCTAGATGTATAAAAAGAAACCTAAATTTCAGAAATGCCAAATTAGGCCACTGTTAAAGAGAGACAAATTCTAAAATTAGCTCAGCTATCTAGGGATTTTAAATATAGAAATTCTTTTCCATCTAGAAAATCTGAAACCTTTGTCCTAGTACCTAAGCTCATTATTGCTTAAATAACTGGTTCTCAAGTTGCTCCTGGGAGTGATGACATACTAATTGTATTTTCTTTGAATTAAAAGAACAACAACAAATTTTCCTAACTTGTTCACGTGTGAGTCACTTCTGGCTACTGAGCAGACATTTACTGTGAACTTGCTATGTGGCATCTGCTTCTGGAACTTCAAAGACTCAGTTCCCAAGAACTTCATCCTTCATTTTAATAAAGAGGTAATTCTTTCAAATTTGAAATATTTATATTTTTTCTGACCAATGTATGCAGAAAAACTAGAAACACTGAGATGCTACCAAATGCATCCTATGGAGGAAAACCCCAGGAGAATAAAATTTTGTTGCCCTCACTTGTTCAACTAAATCAACAACACTTGATTATTGAATGAGAAATTCATACATTTAGGGGTAGCAGAAAACAATTTCAATAGTTCCCTAAACTTTTCACACTTTTTCTATCTTGGATCAGAAAAATACCTCGGCCTGAGTCGCAAGTCTCCGGGATGGTAAGATGTTGTATAATCAAGTGCCTAATTATCGATCTAGTTTCAGATATATAGATGGGACCCACGGCAAAGCAAAATAAAATACAAGTGCAAGGATCACTTTAAAAATTCCTTTGAATATAGTAGCAAACTTTGAAGAGCTGTTGATGGGACAGACCACCCCTGTAACTGGCCCTTCATCGGTTAGATTTTTTTAACCTTCCCTCCAGTAGGAAGAAGGTCACTACTCAATTCCTTATTGCTGCTACCTTTACTCATCTTCCTACTAATTGCCAGACTCTCAATTTCATGCCCCACGACTAAATCAACAGTGTCAATGTCTGCTATAACCTCTGGATTATTTCCTGTGTGTTGATTTTTCTGGGGAATGTGTACATTTTTGGTGTTGACAGTACAAGGTATATTCCATGCTCTCTCTTGAACTTAGCAGGTTTTGACAGATTTATGTGAGGACAGATGGCCATTACAGGCTGAAGGCTGACAAGAGGCAGTTCAGAGCATTGTTAACACACTTGCACCAACTCTCAGCAGTGCAGCTCTGTGCAGAATGTAATTCAGACTATAGCTTTTTTATTGCTGCCTATTTTCTTTTGTCAGAAGAGCCTGCTGTGCAGAGCAACAAATGGCTGCTATTACCCAGAATGTAATGGGTGTCAGACAAATCACGTAACACAAACAATCAAGAGTATGTAGGTCATATTTCAACAGAGCACAACCTTAGCAATATTTATGATTACTGCATTGAAATGTGCTCTATAATAAACAAGTACCTCTACATCACTCACACTTATGCACTTTGGCATGGCAAATCTCGAAAAAGTGGCACACAATCTTTTTAAGCAGTCCTTTTATTTAATATATATATATATACATATATATTAAAGTCAGACAAGTTTGGTTTGGTTTGGTTTTTCATTATGTGCTGGGGGGGAGATTTCCTTGGAGGACTTCTCTTTGGGGTTTGTTTGTTTAATTGAATGACTCTGATAAATGAGAAAGCAGGCCTCAACTCTGTTTCTTGTGCTCCAGTATCCATTCAACAACTTCAGCAGGACTTTCCTCCCTTTGTGTAGCTTAGGTTTTACTATTGTACAGAACAGACTGCTAACTCTATAACAAACTTCTGGATACATTTTACAGTAAGATTGTGCTTGGGTTGCATGCCAAGCCAGGCATTTAAAGAAAAGCATGTATGGTACTGGCACCTCATGCCTGCAATCCTAGCTAGTTAGGAGGCTGAGATCTGAGGATTGAGGTTCAAAGCTAGCCCATGCAGAAAAGCCTAGGAGGAGACCATATAGCCAATTACCCAGTCAAAAGCCAGAAGTGGAGATATAGCTCAAGTAATAGAGTATCAACCTTGAATAGAAAAGCCAGAGAGTGCTTGGGGACCTGAGTTTAAGCCCCAATGTGGCATAAAACACACACAAAAGCAGGTAAGACAACACATAATTAAAGAAAAGCAGTAAGTTTCTAATTTGCTTAAACAATTACTAAGAGAGGAAAACTGGGCAAAGGAAAGGGTGTCACTTGTTCTCACTAACTCTAGGCCTCTAGAACTTGGAGTAAGTGTGGAGAGAAAACAGGGGAGACTCATATTCTGTGGGTCCTCCCGGCTACTCCAGTGGTTTACAAGATTTGGCCAATAGAAGCTTCTCTAATGCCCCTGTTCCCACTTTCCCAGCCTTTT